CTTAGTACAGTGGCAACTGTAAAGAAGTCATTACAATCAATTATAGAATATCTGGTGTCAAAAATCTTTTAGAAAACACGTCCAATATGTCCAGGGTTTTTATCACCTCAACTAGGCTAAGTAGGATGGTAATAAGGTGTGTGGGCCTTAATTTCCTTGAAACATGACTGGTACGTGATCATTATTGGATCCTCCCTAGTCGAGGCCTAACAATTGATATCTGTATAATTGATGGGTTATAAATAGATTTTGAATTTTCAATCTTTCCGATTAACTATTTGTAATTGCCTTGTTGGGATTTTTCATTTCATTTACTTATAAAAGGGTGCATCATAAAGAGAATACGAACAATAATTTCAACCATTCTTCATTCGAGTTTTCATATTCAATCTTTATCTTTCACTTGACACTAGTTTCCCAACACTAATCGTTGGTAAGAAAATGACAAAGAAACATAGCTGGATGTTGCTTTTTATTATTTTTCCACACAAGAGGGCCCACTGCAACACGCAAATCTCGTGGCTTTTTCCCTTGTTACAGATACAATTGGAATCTCTGAATTTTTTCTCTTACAATTTAAACTTTGATCTATATTGAGGCATATTCTGTATAAGGAGTTGAACAGTTAAATAAATAGAGTTTTACTTTTTTAATATTATCGAGTATTTAACTCCTATTTGAAAATCATTATATCGGAAAAATAAAATTTGAATAGTGAGTTTTTAGGATAACGTGTAGTAAAAAGTAGGGAAAAATATTGGACTTACGCTTAGAATATTTTATTGTACGATTAAAAATGAGTATGCAGAAAAATGAATTTTCAAATAATAGTTGTTAAATAGGGGCTTACAGCAATTTATCTAATTAAAGAAGTCGGTATTTAACAGGACATGCATATATAGTTGAAAATAGTTTGTCATTTGCAAAAGGAAACCTTATATATATATATTTACAAAAGGAATCAAAGAGGCTGCTGAATTTAATGAAAATAAACTTTATTTAAGGTAAAAAAGAAGATGAAAGAAGTTCTATAAGTTCACTGTTCAATGTGGTGATCCACTCCACGGGCAACGTCTCTAGTTCAAGTCGAGGATGATCCAGTTTCAAATAATCAATTATGAAACTCACAACAATTTTGAAATAAAAGTTTACCGAACTCTTATCTGATTCTTTTCATTGTCGATTCTTTCTTCGTTACAGTCGCGACTGATTCTCTTAAAAATACTATCATAACAGTGATGGGCCTTAGTGGGTCACATTTCTAGTTATGCCTCTACGAGTAAGGGAGTTTTTCATCAGCAGATGTGACTTGCATCACCTACGTTATTGGGCCTTACTGGGCCACATTCCCCTAGAAAGAAAGAGACCAGGTTTAGGTAAGTAATGGGCCATAATGTATTCCAAATGCATTGTTTTTGAAAACCAAAACAGAAAGACCAATATTTACCTAACTGCCCCATTGTAATTAGTTTTTTGGAAAAATATATATATTTCGTAACAATGATTTTTTGAAAAATGTGTAATTAAAAATAAAGAAATTTTTTAATTTACATGTAATATTATTTTATTGGAGAACGTGTGATTGAAAAAAAAAATGTATTTTGAAATGGGAAAATTACGTGCAAACCTAGAATTAAAGATCAGGTTTCAAAGGGAAGGGGATTAAGTTTAACTTTCAGTTCTCAGGGGTTATTTACACATTATTATTTTAATATTATATTAAACTAATATTACACCAATAATTCAACCCGTCCAATCCCTAACCTTTACCCACACCGACAATGCATCTTTCTCTTTCTATATGTCTCATTCCTGCCCCCCCCTCTCTTACACACACACTATAGACTCTTTCTTTCTCTCTCTACATGTCTCATTCTCCCTATTCTCTCTCTCTCTCTCTCTCTCTCTCTCTCTCTCTCTCACTATATACATTTTGTATATCTATCACCACTCTACTCCGACAGCCACCCAACTCGACGGCGATGTGAGAGCCGCTACGACAAAACGCAATGCGCTGTGAGGCATTCGATGCTCCTCTGATGTTGGACTTGTTCGATTCACCTCTGGCATGACACTACCGCCGACCGTGTCCACTGCGCGCGGCAAAGCAACATCTAAGGGCTCAGTGGTGCTCACTATACCCACTCAGCCATCTCACCCCCAATCGTCACACTTACTCAACGTCCATGGGCTTAGTGGATTTGAAATTTCCTCCAATTCGCCGCTGTGGAGGTTCTTGCGGCGTTGCAATCCCCAGCAAAAGTTTATTTGGTAATTTTGCGATGATTTTTGTGGCGATTTTGCTACAGTTTTTTGTTATGGTTTTGAGGTACTGGTTGTGGTAGTGTGCTGTGGTGGCGACAATGGGTTTATGGATTTTTTTGGTGGTGTCGTGTCGGTGGTGGTGTGGTATAGCGAGAGATAGATGAGATGGTGGTGGTGTGCTGTGAGTACTTTGTGCAGTGGTGTTGTAGCCTTTTTTTGGGTATTGTGGTGGTGGTAATTGTGGGAGACAATGGTATAGATGCGGTGGTGCTCATGGTGGTGTTGGGGATGCGATGATTTTCTGATCTGTTGTTCTTTGGTAGTGATGGTGGGTTGTGACTTGATATTGATTTGATCACAGACAGTCACTCTGAATATAATTTTGATTACAATTAGTCACCGAATCAAAATTGGTCACAGTTAATTACATGTATGTAGTGTGTGCAGTTTTATTTGCGATGACCCTATAAAACCAAGTATGTGTTTGTTGTGACTGTTTGTGACCAATTGTGACTTGAGATTGACATAGTCACATATAGTCACACTAAATATAAATTTGGTCACAATTAGTCACATATGACACAGGTATGGTCACGGATGTTACGAGTGTAAATCTGATCACTTACAATGCATCATTACAACCACCACAATTTTTTGGAGATTTTTCAATAGTTGGGTGTAGAGAGAGAAATTGTTTTCAAATTTTGAAGATTTTTCTATTAGCGAGCCGGAGCAGTGCTTGGAATTGTTACTTGAGTAGGCGCCGGAGTGGTCATTGGAGCGGTTTGCTGGAGTAGTCATCGGAGCAGTTTGTCGGAGTGATCGTAGGAATAGTTGCCGAAGGGGCCACCGAAGTGATCGCTGGAGTGGTCACCAGAGATGATAGCCATCTCTGGTGGAGGGGTGGAGGAAAGGTGGTGTAATAAGGTGATAGGATGAGGTGGATGACATGGGTGGAAATAATTAATGGATATTATATTATAATTTAATATTTAATAAAATTATTTACCACTTAATTTTTGAAATATTTGATTGAGTTTGTTATTTATGAAATGTGATTTTTATAACAATGAGTTGTGTGGTTTTCCCTTTTGAAATTAATGGAGCCCAAACAGAGACTTAAGCTCGTAGCCCACCAAGAGAGAGATAAATAAGAATTCGACTTAGCCTTTTTCTCCATATTCACTTTTAAAGATACACAGATCTTCTACTCTACCAAATTTATAAGGATTAATCTATTTGTATAAGGTTTCTGTGCAAACGGATTTATTGGTATTATGCTGGTAGCACATGCATGTTTTATTTATTATTTATTAGAATTTTTTATAATGAAATATTGCTAAGTGGATCCCTGTAAATTAATTTGGCAAAATACCTGTACACATAGCACGATTCAATTTGTAATATGATTTTGCATGTTTTTATGATGAATTGAATATAATTAAACATAACAAATGATTAAAATAATGAATAATGTTATTTGTATATTATTATGTACAAAATGACGTATAGATAGTGACATGGAAGAGGGAGAAATATCGCGATAACTGATTTTCTTCTTTTCCCCCCCCTCTTTCTCTCATCCATGTTATCTATCTATATATACGCAACGATGTACAAAAAGTATTATTTTAAAAGTATATATCCTTTAATTATTTTATCAAGTTTGATCTATTGCACTAAAAGTATTTTAGACATTTGACGTATTTATGTATTTAATTCTATTTATCTCATATTACTTCAAATCATCATATTTATGTAGAGAACGTGAGTAGATCAATTGACAATTTTTGTTTCACGAATTCATTTATACTCATAGTCTTCGTAATTAAGTTTAATTATCTCACATTATGACAAATTTTTTTGGCGTTTCTAGTAATCAATAAGTTAGATAAATATTGAAATTATATTGATTTGTCGTTGACAAGCCCACATTTGTTCGGAAAAATATTTCTAATATTGTCTTTCGATCTACAATCACGAATTCTCTTTTATTTTAATTATAATTGGAATATCAACACACAACAAGAGCAACTTGCACACAAACAAAGAACTCGAGCAATAAATCCTTACCCTTCCCTTTAAACCCTTTTTCATATATTCATTTATTCAAAATCCATTCTTTTTTCGTATTGTAATACCGTACACAATTTGATTGTTTTTACATTTGAATCAAAACTATTTAGAAAATATATAAATATTTAATATACAACAAGAACAGATAGAAAAAACAAAATACTCTTCAAAAAAAAAAATTCTCTAATTTTTTGCCCAACTTTATAGCACTTCACGTGCATAAAAACATATGGCGTTTGAGAGTTATTTTTATGTAAAAATACATTTTAGAATAGTAACTTGATGGGAATGTGTGGTTGAAAAATAAGAAATTTTTTTTTTATGTATAATGTTATTTTAATAAAGAACTTGTAGTTGAAAAAAAAAAGATAAAAATATATTTTTAAAAAAATGATTACCAAACGGGGCGTAATTTGTTGAAACTGGGAACACCTGGAGACAACGTTAACTCCACGTCTCGAAACCCGACATCAGGGCCCACACTCACCCTTCGCCCATCAAACGTACTGTCACCTTAGTCCTTATAAGTTGGTTGATCCAACTGCAACAAATTTAAAGTTGAGTGACCAATATAAAATAAACCTATAAATTGACTGACCTCCGATGTAATTGTTTTGATTGCTATAATCTCCTGCCCAGACTGCGCGATCTGCCCGCACTGCCCCCAAGCCCAAAGTACCAAGTACACCTTCCCTTTTGCCGTCTGGAGCCCTCGAGACAATCTGAATCTCTTTCTATAAATCGCTCCTTGTCTCTACACCCACCGGATTTTTCTCTCTATCTACGAAATCCTTACTCGTTTTTTCTGTCTGAATCGTTGGATTTTAAAGGTATCTGTTCTCTCTTTCTCTCTGTTTCTTTGTGATTATACGTTGCGTATAAATATGCTTGCTATTTGTCTTGTTGGTGTTTTCTTTTGAAGTTCTTTAATTGGTGTGGTTTGGTTGTTGGATCTGAAATTTCGAAATGGATTTTGATAGGTTTTGATCAGAGAATTGAAGCTATAGAAATGAAATTAAGCAGTGACAATTAGGGTTCCGGCGTAATTCGGGCTCTCCTGGATTTCCGAGGCTTGAATTGGACGAGTCTAGGGTTTTGCAGAATCGTAATTCAAGAATTCTGTTTTTAATTTATTAGCGAGTTGGAAGACTTTAGGTTTTCCAGTACGCCAATTGAATTATTCGTTAGGGATACTGGTAATTGAGAAGATTTAATGGAGTTCGGGTGTTATTGAGTAAAATAATGTCAGATTAAGATGATGGCGTGGTTTTAAGCGGGGATTGGAGTGATTTGACGTTTGAAGTTGGGGTATTGGGTAGTCCGAAATTTGGGGAAAATGCAAAAAAACAATCTTTATTATGCATGGGAGGGTTCAGCGGGAAGGCGAGAGCATTAGGAGCCTACAGAGGAGTATTAGTCAGCATATGCGGTCGGTCCCACCATTGGCTACGAGCAACAGAACTATAGCTGCTGCGTGTGGTCATTCCTCAGTTACTTCTTCTACCATCACAACAACCTCCACGGCCAGTGATTCATTTCTCAAGGTAACTTCTTGTCGGATTTTCCATGTTTTTGTTGTTTGGATTTTATATGCCATTGGTTTTTTTTCTCTGTAGCAAAATTGAATTATTCTTTGTTTTTGGTAATTGTGTGGGAGGTAAGTGACTAGTATAGATAAGAAAATTATGCACTTGGGTGATTGATATTTTTGTTTCACTCCGTATTTCACTTACTTGTATGGGAGGTGGAAGCCAGGTGATGGATATTACGTTTCCGTCAGCGCATCTATAGGTGCTAGATACCGCTGTACTGCGGATTCCTCTTATGAGCAGTTGCTTTGTTAATGGCATTGGCATGGTCCAGGACTCAACAAATATTGTGCTTCTTCCTGTAGTAGAAGGTGGTTTCGAATTTTCGGATTAGGTGATGGTACATCTGGTTCTTATGACTTTGAAGCTAAAGGATGTGATGAAGAGAAAAGTGGTGTTTTAGTACCTTGTGCTCATCTCTTATTACTATTAAGAATGATGTACTCAGATACTTGAAGGGTTTATAATTAATGTTTATAATCAAGCTTTTTTTCCACTAAATTCCATTGTACTATTTGGAACGCTTTATTGCTAGTGTTAAATGCTTTCCCTCTCTGGTACAGTTCTGCATTCTCTGTCTTTATGTTGCATTTCTATAATTTAACACCTATGCAGTGATTGGTAGGCAAGATGTTCTAAGAAATTTTTTACTTTCCTCACTGATATCACGTGCGGAGACGTTATTTTGGTTCCAGTATCTCTATCTTGTCCAATGCGCTAATACATTCAAAAGCAAAATGAGAAAAAGGTTCATTCTAATGCCGCCCTCTCTGGTACAGTTCTGCATTCTCTGTCTTTATGTTGCATTTCTATAATTTAACACCTATGCAGTGATTGGTAGGCAAGATCTGATGTTCTAAGAAATTTTTTACTTTCCTCACTGATATCAAGTGCGGAGACGTTATTTTGGTTCCAGTATCTCTATCTTGTCCAATGCGCTAATACATTCAAAAGCAAAATGAGAAAAAGGTTCATTCTAATGCCATTCAATTATAAGCCAGCGGTAGCTGTTACTCAAAATGTTAATGTAATGGCAATTTTATTTTTCTGCATAGATAAACTGTTTTAGCAATATTTAGATGATTTCATTTTAAACTTTACTCACAAATGAGATATTAGATTACTGAGATCATAGAATGGCTTCTCTTCCATATGTGGTGAATAAGAAACGTTTTGTGTTATATACTGCAGATAATATACTATTTAATCCTCAATTTGCTGTCGAAATATGCCACGTCTTACCAATTTGATGTATAGTTAAAAAACTCATGGGTGAACTAAGGGTTCTGGAGGCCAAGTAAGCATATTGTATGCCAAAGTCACTTCTCAAGTAATTGCACTATTTACCATTTAACTTACGAGTTCATGAATCGTGTTTAGTTCATTTCATTGTTTTCATGAGCTTTATATAAATTTCTCTTGAAGAGGTAAGGAACTAACCAGATATGTTATGTTCCTCTTGCATATCAATCAACCTCTTCTGTTTTTGGAATTCATTTGTTGATTTTGTAAGCATCCCTAATTGATTAACTATATTGATGGAGTATGCATATTAAAGCATTCCTTAATTGATGAGTCAATTCAATATGATAGTGAGTTGCGAACATGAGAAGCCTTCTGATATGAATCATATGATGGAAACACATCAAGAGATGTCGTTGGCATTACATAAAAAGAATATTAATTGTAATCTTTTGGGGCATTAGTATCTACAGGGGAGGGAGAAGGAGTCCTTGACCCGCAACAGATAAAGGAGGATTTATTTAATAAACAAGTCAAGTGTTAAAAGTGCGAGAAAATCCAATTTGTCTTGACGAGATAAGCATTAAAAGGAGGCATTGCAGTCTATGGCTTATATGAAGTTAAGCCCCTAGTAGATAATAATGTGGGTAAAGCATAGTAACAAAACCTATTGTATTTTAAACATTCAGAGATGAAGGTATTCTCAGATGATTTTATTCGAATAGAAAACAGCCCATAATATAGGGGTGAAAGTAAACAAACAACCTACACCAAATCTGGAATCCTAATCCCTACAAGTGAGAAATTGGAAACCAAATAAAAGATAACAATTTATTCTTTTAAATCTCATCCTAATAATCTGGAAGTAAAATAAGAAAATATAACAAATTATAAAGATAAAAAAATCCATAATATTCGGGATCTTCAACATTATTGTTTCACTTTGGTCACTGAATTTTTTTCTTGAAGTCAGTCACTGAATTTCAAGCTTTTTAGTGTTGGTGCTTCATATGCTTTCACTGATCGAATGTAATGGAATTGATTACTTGCATGAAGGAATTGGCTATGGCTAAAAAATTGTACAAATTTCTTTTTTCCTTTCTAGGTTGCCAAAAATGCTCATTTTCTTGAGATATTTTGCTCGTTAATTAGATTTTTTTGTAGAAAAGTAAACGTTTTTGTCAATCTTGATGATAAACATGTCATAACTTAATATTCCACAACATCATTTCTGTCGTACAAGTCAGCAATTCCAGTACGTTGAGAAGACAGGTAGACAAAGTGCCAAAATTGACACAAAAACATAAGTGCAGTATCTAATGTGGGAAGCTAATCTGCAAATTTTGAAGTCTTGTTGAGGAAGGTCCCTGGGGAATACTTATTATAAGCAAACTCACATAACAGTAAATTATTTCTAACCCTAATAATGATGTCGTCGTCAAAAGGAAGTTGTCGAACATATACTGAGATCAGTTCTATTAGGCCAGTAACTTGTTACTATGAGACATGAGTAATTACGCATCTATGCTTGTTCTATAACAGTCGGCTCAATTAATTTCTTTTCTTTTCTTTTAGAGAGGTTTATAAGGGAATGAAATGAGGATCTCATGCATTTGTTGTATCCTTGATGTGAATTGTGTGGAATTCTCCATTTTTGTTCATTTCCATATCAAAATGCTTGACGGAATTCACAGTCAGCAATTTTAATGGCATCCAGTTTCAGAATACTGTCTTTTCTAGCAGAATCACTACAATTGCCAATTGCAGATAATGTTTTTGCTGGCACATTCGGTAGATGCATGATACTACTAAGTGGCAATATCTGTGATGTATATTTTGTCACTGTGCTTTTTTATTATACACATGCTGTGATGAAAATTTTAATTATTTCTGTTGTATGACATTTTTTAATACTGTCATTTTAGGGAGAAGTAAATTGTTTGCCTCTATTTTTTCCTTATTGTAGGACGGCCGAAAAATTAGCATAGGTGATTGTGCTCTTTTCAAGCCACCTAAAGATTCTCCACCTTTTATTGGGATAATTCGCTGGTTGGCAGCGAGCAAAGAGAAAAAGTTACTGTTAGGTGTGAATTGGCTTTATCGACCAGCTGAGCTGAAGCTTGGCAGGGGCATCCAGCTGGACGCCGCGCCAAACGAAATTTTTTATTCTTTTCACAAGGATGAAATTCCTGCTGCATCGCTTCTCCATCCGTGCAAAGTTTCTTTTCTTCCAAAAGGCGTTGAACTTCCTGCAGGGATATCCTCATTTATTTGCCGGCGGGTGTACGATATTGAGAATAATTGCCTTTGGTGGCTGAATGATCAAGATTACATTAACGTTAGTTGCTATATGTTGTCAATCTATATTCTCTTTGTATACTAGCTGTATTTATTTATTTTTTCTAATTTGAAAAGGTTTCCTGCATTCACTGCAGATGCTATTCTTTACTCTATTTTTCCTCCATTGATTCTGGCTCTCTAATCTCGTAGGAACGACAACAAGAAGTAGATAAACTTTTACATAAAACACGAACAGAAATGCATGCAACTATGCAGTCTGGTGGTCCTTCTCCAAAACCAGTAAATAGTCCGGCATCAACCCTGCAATCAAAATCAGGTCCTGATAATGGACAAGTTGGTGCAACTTCTTTTTCTTCTCAAGTTAAGGGAAAGAAGAGGGAGAGAGGAGATCATGCTGTTGATCCTATCAAAAGGGAACGTTCTTCCAAAACTGATGATGGCGATTCTGGTATTTTGAGAGCTGAAAATAGTTTGAAATCAGATATAGGGAAAATAACAGGAAAAGGAGGTCTCACAGATTTGGAGGGGGTGGAGAAGTTTGTCCAACTTATGCAACCAGAGAGAATGGAAAGGAAAATGGATTTGATTAGTCGCTGTTTACTTGCAGGTGTGTTGGCTGCCACTGATAAGTTCGATTGCCTTAATCATTTTGTGCAGCTCAAGGGTTTGCTAGTGTTGGATGAGTGGCTCCAGGATATCCATAGAGGGATGATTAATGATGGTAATAATTCCAAGGATGGTGATAAATCTGTGGAGGAATTTCTTTTAATTTTACTTCGTGCACTAGATAAGCTCCCTGTCAATCTTGAAGCCCTGAAAATGTGCAACATTGGTAGATCTGTGAATCATCTACGTTCACATAAAAACTTAGAAATTCAGAAAAAGGTTAGGAGTTTAGTTGACACATGGAAGAAACGCGTCGAGGCTGAAATTGATGCAAAGTCTGGTTCAACCCAAGTTGTTTCTCCATGGCCTTCCAAATCTCGCCTTCCCGAGGCTTCTCTGGGTGGGAGTAAAAATTTAAATGGTACTGATGTTGCCATTAGAAGTTCAATCACGATGCTTTCTGCTTCTAAAACTTCTTCAGTGAAGTCTTCACCCGGGGAGAGTAACACAAAGTCCTCATCCTCATCTCCTGGCCCTATAAAATCATCATCATCACCTGCAACAGGCAAAGATATCCAGCCCAAAAATTCTGTTGGTAGTGCTTCTGATGTTCCTCTATCCAGGGATGATAAGAGTAGCAGTTCTGTTCAATCTTATAGTTACAATCCTTCATCAGTAAAAGATGACATAAAGGGTTCTGATACTGGTTTGGTCAGTGTTAATAAAATCTCAGGTAGTGCTTCTCGGCATCGGAAGTCAAGCAATGGTTTTCTTGGGTCACCTGTAACTGGAGGTATGAAAGAAACAAGCTCAAGCAGAAGCTCTTCACTGCACAGAAGTACTGCGTTAGATAAGTCATCTCAGTCTGCCTTCAACATTGACAGGGCTCTCGAGGCACCCTTTAGTGAGGGCAGCAGTCATAAGCTAATTGTTAAGATACCAAACCGTGGACGCTTTCCTGCACATGGTGCCAAGATGGAACCTTCAGAAGATCCTTCCATTATGAGCAGTCGAGTTTCTTCTCCAGTGCATTCAGAGAAGAATGATTATATCCCTCATAATCCAAAGGAAAGGAGTGATGTGGATCCATCAAATTTTACTTCGGATGTGAATATGGAGTCATGGCAAGGCAATGAGTCCAAGGATGTGATAAATGGTTCTGTTGAGGCTGTTGTGTCACCTGCAGCTCTTCCTCATCAAGAGCAAAGTAGGACCACTGAAGCGTCCAGGAGAATTATTGAAGCTTTGAAAAGAAATGACTTGAAGTCGCGTGAAGCCTCGTTTAGCCCTATGAATGCTTTGATTGAGAGCTGTAAGTATTCTGAAGTAAATTCATGTGTGTCACTTGAGGATGATATGGGAATGAATCTACTTGCTAGTGTGGCTGCTGGAGAAATGTCCAGAACTGATTCTCCGGAAAGAAGCACCTTTGTAGCTGATGAGGTTTGTGCAAACGAGGATGGAAAATCGAAGCCGTCTCCTGAAGATGGAATTGCTGGAGGCCAAATTTTGTGTTCTGATGATGGTGATAGCAAGAACCAGGTTATAGCTGGCACTTTGTTGTCTGAAGATGAATTGCATCTGTCTAAACATGCACCCCTTGAGTACTCTGGTGAAAGATGCGCTTCATCTCAAGTTAATGAAGATTTGCTGACTGGAGAGTGCAATAAACATGTGAACTTGGTGGATTTGAGAACCAGTGCAGATCCTCATGGCGATATAGGTGAGAAGTCCTGTGAAATGAAGAGTTCTGCTTCTTTGATGCCATCAGGAACAATGGAGAAGGTGAAAGATGTTGAATTAAGTAAAAAATTTCTCGAGGAAAAGGTTCCTATAAGTAATGCAAATGTTGATGCCATTTCAGATAGTAAACCTTGTGGAAATGATAACTTGGTAGCCCAGGCCATGGTCAGCCATGGTATTTCTAATGTAGAAGACGGTAATCGATCAGCTGAAGTTGTAGGTGACAGCACAAATGATTTGAAGGAAGAGTTGAGTACTGAATTTCCTGTGGAGCAAGAACTACCTGCAGTTGCTGCATCATCCGTCTTGACAGAAAGATGTGATAATGAAATGCTGCAAAGAACTGCATCTGAGAAGAAAGTCATTTCACAAAATGATAACGATGTCAATGAAGAAAAAGGTGGTGAAAAGGATACTGTGAATTGTGTTATCCAGTCTGAAAGACAGAACTTTGATAAGGGAGCAGACAAGCCTAATGTTGAAGATCGAGGCATGAGCTGTTTGGATTCTACCATGGATGACGTGAAGAGTCAAAATACAGAGGTGAATGTAGAGAACGATGAATCCCCTGAGCACCAATCTGTTATATCCCCTCCTCAGAAAGAGTTGCTTGCTATTTCTTCCAAAGAAGCACAGAAAAAGACTGAGTCGATAGAATCCAAGCTTCCTGGTGTTGAAGCAGATGTAACTGAGGAATGTTCTTCCTCTGAGACAGAGGCTTCATTTTCTTCTGCTACCGCACCTCCAGGACCTGATGCAAAGATTAATTTTGACTTAAATGAAGGTTTTATTGAAGATGATGGAAAATATGGGGAGCCAGTAAACTTCATATCCTCTGATTTAACCAGTGTGCATGTGATCAACCCATTGCTTTCTTCCAATGGTCTTCCTGCTTCCATTACATTCGCAGCAGCAGCAAAAGGGCCTTTTGTTCCTCCAGAGGAACCATTGAGACGCAAAAGTGAACTTGGATGGAAGGGATCTGCTGCCACTAGTGCATTTCGACCAGCTGAACCCAGAAAAGCCCTTGATTTGCATTTTGGGTCGAGAAATGTGTCCTCTACCGATGCCTCTACTAGTAGACATGTCCATCCTTTGTTGGATATTGATCTAAATGTGCCAGATGAAAGAGTTGTTGAGGACATGGCTTCTCGAGATTCCGACTCAGCAGTTAATTCAACATCTGTTTTTATAAGTGATCGTGGTATGACACTGAATGAGTGCATAGGTGCTGCGCCAGCTCGTGGCTCTGTAGCACTTGATCTTGATTTGAACAGAGTTGATGAAGCTAATGAAATGGGGCATTGCTCTTTAAGCAGCAAATTTAAAGTGGAGGGTACGGATTTGCCTGTTGATTCATCAGGTGGTTCACGTACTGGTGCTGTTAGAAGACATTTTGATCTAAATGATGGGCCTGTAGTTGATGATGCTATTGCTGAACAGTTTTCATCAAGTCATCAGGGCAAGGGTATTATACTGTCTCAACTGCCTACTGCTGGCCTGAGAATGAACAACTCAGAACTTGGCAACATCTCATCTTGGTTTCCCCCTGGGAATACATACTCAACTGTGACAATTCCGTCAACATTACCGGACCGAGGGGACCAGCCCTTTCCAGTCATCCCTCCTGGTGCACCACAAAGATTATTTGCTCCTACTGTTGGTACCCCATTTATTTCTGATGTTTATCGGGGACCGGTTTTGTCATCATCTCCTGCGATCCCTTTCCCACCTGGCTCTTTCCAATACCGGATGTTTCCTGTTGGACCTACGTATCCTTTACCAACTCCCACTTTCTCTGTGGGAGCAAATTCATTTGTAGATTCCTCATCTGGTGGAAGGCTATTTACTACGCCTGGAAATTCACAGTTTCTGGGCCATGGTGGTGCTGTCTCGCCCCAATTACCTAGACCTTTTCTGGTTAACCTTCCTGACAGTAGCAGTAATGGTAGCTTGGATAACAACAGAAAGTGGGGCAGGCCTGGTCTGGATCTCAATGCTGGCCCTGGTGCAGTAGACATTGAAGGTAGAGAAGAGATGTTGCCTCTGGCATCGAGGCAGCTTTCTGTTGCCAGTTCACAAGCGCTATTAGAGGAACAAGCAAGGATTCTCTCGGTTCCAGGTGGTATTTTGAAGAGGAAGGAGCCTGAAGGTGGGTGGGATTATGAGAGCTTCAGATCCAAGCAACCTTCTTGGCAATAGGAGCGATATACTGGAATCTGGTGCGCTTTTCAAGCTTTTTAATTATTTTTAGAGCGATATACTGGAATCTGGTGCACTTTTCAAGCTTTTTAATTATTTTCATCGTGGAATAAATGTTTATGAAACTAACTTCATTCTGTTGTTTTAGTTCTTGGTAGTAATACCAATGATTGATATGTTGAAGGGAAATTTATCTGCTTAATTATTAGATGTACCTTCCCCGAGCATAATGTTTCTTTAATTTATTTTTACAAACTGTTCCATTTCTATCTTTGCTATTAAATAACATTGGCAATGAGATTATTGCACAATTACTTTTGGTGTATAGATGACGTGTTTATTATTTGAGGTCATCCTTTGCATTCCTCTCTTAACTTTTTACTTCTCATTTTTTCTCCAGTGGCTGGACGAGCCAAATGATGAATCATTACTACCAGGCTGGATCTCCCTTGAAGAATGGTGCTAAGCTAGTAGATGTTTCCAGTCTCTGACCCCCATCTCTCAAGTGCTTCGATTGTCACACGATAGTTTAATCGGGTTTGCTAGTCTTGGTCATTTCTGGGAGGATGGAGATAACTTTCCTCTGTAGATATTTAACTGTTGGAAAGCATGAATTCTCTGATGACCAGATACTGATTTGATGCATTATCCCTGGAAATCATTCAGGAAATGAGATTGGGACTGAACTGTTTTGACATGGAAGCTCGTTTTATCGAGTATTTATCATAATTCTCTCTTTGCAGCTTGTTCTTTTCAGCTCACCTTTATATACTTATATCCAGATTTACTCTGAATTTTGGCATCAAAAGCTTTTAACCTCTGATGGGTTCAGTTATGTCTTTTTGTAGTATTTTAGTTCAGTTTTCCTGTCTGACATTACCTCTACTGCTGACGTATGTTCTGCTCAAGAACGATAATTTCATCACAACGGTGAGATCATGTACATTCCTTGTCCAAGTCCCTTTTACTGAGAGGTTTACTTACAAAAGAAATGAGGCGGTGCATGTGAAATAAAAGAATGCTGCTAGTAAAGTGTTTTATATGTTTTGTGGCATGAAGAGTATTGTACGCATCTCAAGTCGACTTGATTTTGTACATAATTGCGACTGTAGAAGAAGAGCTTCTGCGTCATTGGAACTTAGGGTGGGTGTGATTACATTTATTTTTCAAGAAAAATATCAGTTTTCTATCCAAATTTCTACTTGAGGTGTTTGATTGCTAATTTTTTCTATGGAAAATATTTTCTAACTCTTAAAAATATATCTAATTTTCCTTGTTTTTAAGGAAAACATTTTCCTTGGGTGGAGGCGGTTTTTATTTTATACAAAAGAAGGAAACATTTTCTTTGTAAGGTGATATTTTTCATGTTAATCAAACACTCTTAATTTTCTCATATCAGGAAATGAGACAATTTTCAGCATAATGTGGTTTTCGCGTGGGTAGCAAGTTCTACATGGGTGGCGAGATTGCCATCTCCCATTAGACAGTGCGTCAATTATGTCGTTAACCATATGGAGTAGCAGAGAACATACATGGAACATAGAGATTGACGAACGGTGAGGATGCCCATTCCTAGTAGCTAATTTATTGAAGACATGACAATGAGATGGGTTTTATTCATATCTTTCGGAATATGATCTTAATGCTTATTTTTCGAGGTCAAATGTTACTTATATAAACTCATAAAAAAAAAAAGAAAAAAAAAAAGAAAGGATTTTGCCACTTAGCCAGAAGAAACCTAATAGCAGCATAACTCGAAGTGGCAATAGGTGATTTGCCTCCGTTTGATTCCCATTGTTTTAAAAATTCATTTTAAATTACATATTCTTCAATAAATTAATATTACACGTAAATCTAAAATTTTTAACGACATATTTTTCATCAATTTACTATTCAAAATACATTATTTTCTCTAAAATGGGCATCAAACAAGGGCTTGATGGAAAAGTTAAGCGTGTTTAAAATAATACAATAATAAAATGTCGTGTGATATTATGTCAAGCTTAATTGAAAAACAAATTGAAGAAGAGTTGGAAATACTAACTTTCTTTGTCGAACTTTTATCGGAACAATTTGGTGTACAGGTCGCATTTCGCAGGTCCTGCATAGGGCTTTACACGTGAGGTGAGTTTCATGACCTCATTATAAAAATACCCTACAAATGCTCACCCAACCTATGTATGTCTGTTGCATGTGGGGTTCTGTAAACCCCTCGTGGTAGTGGAGCATATCCCAACTTTTATAGCACCTCATGTGCAGAAGTGGTACATAACCTGTGAATTGTTGGAAATCCAGGAGACAACCTTAATTCCATGTCAGGTAAAACCTAAATAGGGCCCGCAGTCACCTTCACAGACCACGTGGGTAGAATAACTCTCATATTGACAAATTTTGTCTAGAATACTTATTATTATTATTTTTTTTGTCAATAAAGTTACAATTTAGCAGTGTCAATTTTATTACATATTTTGTGTAAACATGGACTTTTTTTTTTTTCAATGTACAATAAACAGATAGAAAAATGATAGGACTGTGTAATTTATAATAGACCGTTTTTGAATTTTAAGAGTAATGTTTATTTGACACGCCAATGAGCTCATACTCATTATAAGTTCACGGTAATCTAGTCCAGTAATTAAATTGAAACAAGGGATCTAATTCCCAAACCTTAGGGTTAAACAAGTCGAGTAACTAAAATGTAAGTCGATGAAACCGATGCTCAGATTAGCCCCGTTTGAGCATTAAATTAAAATTCTCCCTCCTACTTTTAACCACACAATCTTCAATAAAATAATATTACACGTAAATTAAAAATTTTTCAACCACTCATTTTTCCAAAAAATACTAATCATCTCATTATAATCTACAAATAGTGGATTTCAAACGGGCACTTAGAAAATCCGAGTTGAATCACATAACTGAATTATTAATTTAATGCTCCCTTTTCCACTTCAGTTATTTTCTCCCTAATCTAATCTCACTGAACCCCGGGTGCCTCGATAAGTGAGATTACTATAATACCCAGCTGCCCCTCAACACAAAGTACAGCCTATCCTTTCGGCGCTCTGACGAGCCCTCGCGGCATCCCTTCTCTTTCTCTATATAAATCGCGCCGTGTCTCTATAGACCACGACTTCTCTCTCTAAAGTCTCTCTCGGTTTCTCTTTCTGAATCGATAGATTTTCAAGGTCTCCGCTTTCTCTTTTTATGTATGTGTGTGTGGACAACTGCGTGTATATGTAAAAATGCGTTGTGTATGATTTTCTTTTGAAACTGTTTAAATGGTGTGTTTTACTAGTTCGATCTGTAATTTCGAACTGAAAATTGAGGCCCTAGAGACGAAATTAAGCTGTGAAAATTAGGGTTTTATCTGAATTTGTCTCTATCCCCGCTTTCGGGGCTGGGTTAGATAATTTTAAGGCTTTGCAAAGACTTATAATTGAAGAATTCTAGGATTTTTTTTTTCAGTGCCCTGATCGAATGCTTCATTAGGGATACTGCGCAATTAAGAAGAATTAAGAAGTTCAGATATCGTTAAGAACAGTTTGAAATTACCATGAAGGTGAGATTTTGAGCAGTGTTGGATTGATTCATGTTTGAAATTGGGGTATTTGGTGGTGAGAGATTTCGGGGAAAATGCTAAAAACCAATCTCTATTATGCATGGGACGGTTCAGCGGGAAGGTGAGAGCAGTAGGTGTCTACGAAGGAGTTATAGTCATCACATGCGGTCGGTCCAACCCTTGGCTACGAGGAGCAACAGAACTATAGCCGCTGGGAGTGATCATTCTTCAGTCACTTCTTCTACCATCACCACCACCTTAACTACTAGTGATTCATTTTTCAAGGTACTTTCTTATTGGATTTTACAAGTGTTCCATGTTTTTCTTGTTTGGGTTTTTGTTTTTTTCAAGGATGCAACTAAAGCTTGATTATAGACATCAAGTGTATACATTCTTCAATTATCTACAATTACATCATTCTTAAATTAGCAAGAGGTACTAGGATGTGACTTTTCTATTCATCACCGCCATTAGCTTCAAGTTCAAAAGCATTACCAGATGTACCACCACCTAATCCCAAAAATTTGAAGCCACCTTTTGTGCTAGAGGAAGAAGCACAACTTGGTTAGTTCGTTGCACATGATCACTTCCTATTGAGTGCCATATGACAAGACAAACGCTCATAATAGGAATCCCCAGTAAGGTGGAATCTACCATGTATACAACCTGACTGATGGAAACTTCATATCCATCAGGCACTTGACTTCCACCACCCCATATACATAAGACAGATATGGAGTGAAACTAAAATATCAACTACCACACCAAACATAAGGCTCAACCAGGGGAAGAAGAAGATGAGAAGTAAACTGTATCCATTAAATGGCTTAAAGAATGACACTGATAATCATGTACTAAAAAAAGTTACAACCTCGAGAAACACTGAACAAGTAATCCACTTTGGACTTAAATGACATGCTTTTATATGAACCTTAAAAATAAATCCTAGTCACATAGAGACTGCAATCTAGACTTGTTTGCAAGTGTTTAATTTACAAACATTTGTGGTGAAATCACTTCTTATCCACACATTTCATGAAATTCACAAGTAATGCCCACTTATCCACCACTCATTTCTATCTATTTATAACTTAAACCGGTTTTAAACACTTCCCAAATGCTTTAAAAGTGATAAGCCTTCAGTGAAGTACACTTAGCCACAATCCTACACCGGAGATGCATTATTGCTGTTCTTTAATAGTAACTTAACTCCCACACAAACACCAATCAATGAATAATTCCACTTTATTATGTGGGATGCTTCATTGATTGTGTTATATATAGTTCCTTGTTGGCACAGTCTGGTTTATCCATCCCGAGTTGCATTTCTGTTGTTGAACACCGATGCTGTGATTGGTATGGAAGGTGATCTGAGAATCATTTGACTCCTCGCTGATCAAATGCGAAGAAATTATTTTCGAACCCAATATCCATGTGTTGGCAATGTACTAATGCATGCAGAAGCAAACTAAAAAAAAATAGTTACTATTTCTGCTGCAACCAGGATAAAAGTATTGATTGTGCTAAAATATTGAAGGAATGGAAAAATCTGTCACTTCACCTATGTTCTTTCTTTTGAATTTATATAATGAAGTTCTTACAGGTGTAGATTTATGTTAGTGCGTCTCTCAGAGTGTAGGGAATGAAAAATTCTAATTCCAGAAGCAGGTTCATGCGAATGCCATTAAGTTATAAGCCAGTGTCAAATGTTGTACAAAATGTCCATGGAATGTGCATTGTATTTCTCTGTATGGTTAATTTATTTTTCCAACATTTAGACGATTTCAGTTTAATCTTCACTCCAAAGGGGTATTAGAATATTCAGTACATGTTATCGATTCTCTTCTTGATGTGGTGAATAAGATATGTTTTTTGTTATATACTGTAAAAAGTATTTAATTTCTGTCTCACCAATTTGATGTATAGAAAACTAGTGGGCCAACTGAGTTTCTGGAACATGCTAAGTTACCGGATTGTGTGCAGAAGTTACTTCTCATGAAATTGCACTCTACCATTTAACTTATAAAGTTTCGTAAAAATGGATATTTGGATATTTTTCTCTTGAATAGGAAGTTTTAACCTCAAGTTCTCCTTTTTTCCTTCATTTTCCTTTCTGATCCATACAGAATGCCAAAAAGTAGCTATGTTTTTTTATTTTGATAATCAGGATATGTTAACACAATTCTCTTGCATATCAATCAACCTCTTCTGTTAAAGGAGTTTGTTCATTAATTCTGTAAGCATTCCATAATGGATTACCTAGATCTGATGCATTATG